CTTTGACCTGAATAAACCCCAATTTCCAGAAATGAACTTTTTTCCAGGTGTCCCAGAATGAGCTGGATTGGTTCCACCAGGACTCGGAGGCACAGATGAGGAAATGGCAGCAGGAGAAGAAGGAGAACCGGGAGAATTTAAAGGCTCTGAAGGGCACAGCCAAAAAGCACTCAGACACCAACGAGAGGTGCAGTGGAAACGGATTCACAGCCCCAATTTCAGAATTCTTCCAGGAAATTTGTGAGAGCAGCCATTATTAGGCTGCAATATGGCCATGGCCATTTATTTTGAATTTTTTGGCAAATGACAGGCAAACATCCAAAATAGCTTGGAGATAATGGATGGAAGTGATTTAGCACAAATTCTCCCAATCAGATTTGACAATTCCTTCTGTATTTTAATTTCCTCTCTCAGTTTGCAGAGCCCAGACTTTGCTCCTTGAACGCCTTTGTGTTATTTTAATTGTTTTATCTTAATTTAATGTTTTATCTTAAATAGTTTGGGCCAGATCTCTCCTGCAAAATCATCAGCCTGGTTTTATCCTCATCACTGCTTTATTAGCAATAAATTTAAATCTGTTTAGACTAGAATCCATTTAGAATAGAATTTAGAATAGTTTGGGTTGGGATGGATCATTAAAAACAATTTATTTCCACTCCTCCCACTGTCCCAGGGCTGGGAATTCCTTAATTTCTGAGGGATTAAACAAAATTAAACCCTCAGATTTTTACAAAGGAGCGTGTCCCATATTTACCAATAAACTTTTCCACAATAAACTCAATTAATCTTTCATTCCTGTAGGTATTTGAAGAGCATTGAGGAGAAGGAAAAGCAATATAATGCAAGTGTAAAGACATTTCTGAAGGCCAGGTAAAACTCCTGTCCCTCCCAGCAATATTTACATTTTTCTGCCTCACTCTGGGTAAAGGTTTAGGGCAAAATCAACACTTTAACCCAAATTTAATTATAAAATTTTTTTATTTAAAATTTATTTAATTTGAATAAATTTTATTTATATAAATAATAATTTTTTTTATTTAAAATTTAATTATAAAAGCAAACTCTTAAGTTTGCTTTTACTTGCCATGAATAAATATTAATATTTAGAATAAATAAAATCATACTCTCATACATTTCCCTCGATTACATGACACTGAGTAGCTGTAAAAAAAACCTAAAATAGCATAAATTATATAATGTTACTCAAATATTTCATTTCTTTTCCTTTCACAGTAAGAAATTTGCTAATGAGAAAAGCAAATTGGAAGAGCTGATAAAAAAGAGTCAGAATGAGAGGCAGNAGAGTGCTGTCAGTGGCAGGGTTGATATTGAATGTTTGAGGTGTTTCCTCACTCAAACCCCAGATTTGAATATTCCATGTGGGGACATTCCAGAGCGCTGTCAGTGGCAGGGTTGATATTGAATGTTTGGGCTGTTCCCTCACTCAAACCCCAGATTTGAATATTCCATGTGGGGACATTCCAGAGCGCTGTCAGTGGCAGGGTTGATATTATTTGAATATTCCATGTGGGGACATTCCAGAGTGCTGTCAGTGGCAGGGTTGATATTGAATGTTTGAGGTGTTTCCTCACTCAAAACCTGGGTTTGAATATTCCATGTGGGGACATTCCAGAGCGCTGTCAGTGGCGGGTTTATGGCTGTGGCAGGAGATAACAGTGAGCAGTGTGACCCTCGGGCTGGGAGCAGGCTCGGTGCCGTTTGTGTCACAGTTTGTGTCGCAGTTTGTGTCACAGTTTGTGTCACAGTTTGTGTCACAGTTCCTGTCACCAATCCGTTTTCAGGGTGACATCCTGCGCCTGCAGAAGGAGCACCGGGTGCTGCAGGAGCAGCTCCGCCAGGCCCAGCTGAAATCGGAGCAGTCGCAGAGCCGGAGCCGGGAGGAGATCTCAGCTCTGCAGGGGCTCCTGAGGAAAAGCATCGAGGAGAGCGAGGTGAGGGGTTCCCGTGGGCAGAGCGGGGCAGGCCCAGAGCCCAGGGAGCAACCGGGAATTTGTTGTGTCGATTTAAAGGAGTTCTGATTCTTGGGAGAGCACTGAGGAGTGCTGGTAAATCTGAATTGTTTGGTTAAAATGTGTGAGAAGTCACAGTGAGGGTTTTGTGTTTTGTGTAGTTGTAATTTACTGAGGTGTGTTATATTGTTTATTGTGGATATGTTTTTGTCCTCCCTATTCCAGCATTCCCTGACTGATCCCTGATTTAGGATTTTCACAGTAGTTAGGAATTTGTTTTGTAGGTAAAATGTCGTTCTTCTCATTCTTGTAAGAGTACTTATGGGTGTTGGTAAATTTGAATTGTTTGGTTAAAATGTGTGAGAAATCACAGTGATGGTTTTGTGTTTTGTATAGTTATAGTATGAACTGTTTTACTGAGGAGTGTTATATTGTTTATTGTTGATATGGTTTTGTCCTCCCCATTCCAGCATTCCCTGATTGATCCCTGATTTGGGATTTTTAACAGTAATCATGAATTTATTTTGTCAATTTAAAGTAGTTCTTCTGATTCTTGGGAGAGCACTGAGGAGTGCTGTTAAATCTGAATTGTTCGGTTAAAATGTGTGAGAAGTCATGGTGATGTTTTTGTGTTTTGTGTAGTTGTAATATGAACTGTTTTACTGAGGTGTGTTATATTTATTGTTATATTTATATCTGTTGTTGATTTGTTTTTGTCCTTCCCACCCCAGCCATTCCAGCATTCCCTGATTAATCCCTGATTTGGGATTTTCACAGTAGTTAGGAATTTATTTTGTAGGTAAAATGTAGTTCTTCTGATTCTTGGGAGAGCACTGAGGAGTGCTTTGACCTGAATAAACCCCAATTTCCAGAAATGAACTTTTTTCCAGGTGTCCCAGAATGAGCTGGATTGGTTCCACCAGGACTCGGAGGCACAG